AATCAAAACCTGGATTTTTTGTTTTTTTTTGTTATTATGACCTACAAATGCTATGTGAAAGTTTGAAACAGAAAATAGTGCTTTTTATCTTTCCACTTTCTTGGTAAAGAAAACACATTTTTACTCAAATTAATCTAAATGGATTTATTGCGTTTTGGAACCAAACTCTTCACTTGTATCTTAATTTTCGTTTTTTTTTTTTCATTTGAATACAGTATATTGTAACCCACACCAATTAATTAATCTTATGACGTTGACAAGTTACATTTACATTGTATATATTGAAAAACAGTTCTAGTTTTTTTTTTTTTTTTTTTTTGACACAAAAGGTGACATTTGTAGAATATTTACATAAAATTATTTATATAGATTATATAAATGTTAAATGCCAAATTATCAAATGTCCATGGTTGGAGCCCACATAACCTCATTGTCAGTCTCTTTTCCTTCATGGCAAACTGTTTAAGAACCATACATTGAATTTTATGTTTTTTTTTGTTTGTTTTTTTTGCTTTACTTTACGAACTCATGAACCCCCGTTTTCTGAAATCCTTGTTTTAAAGTCAGTCCTGAAAAACACAACGCATCCAATAAATGCCTCTAATTGTTTAATTGCTCTTTATATAATTATTGCATACTTGCTATTATTACAGAAATCTCTATTTATACAAGCTTGTTTTTTCAGCAACAATTCCTGTACTAATTCCTTGTACGTTTGTGATCGGCCCTCCTTCAGTGAGGTTAATAATGAGTGTTGCAATGACGTTTAGCTCCTAAAATGAGATGAACCACTTAGTTGCGAGGGTCTGCTGGGACTCTTCAAGGACTGGATGTTTAAAGGCTTCTGTTTGAATCTCTGCTCGCAGGTTGTCTCGGTATCAGCAGTTCAAAGACTTCCAGCGGAGGATCCTAGTGGCCACGAATCTGTTCGGTCGAGGAATGGATATCGAGAGAGTCAACATCGTCTTCAACTACGACATGCCAGAGGACTCCGACACGTACCTCCACAGGGTACGAATGCAACCGCGTGCATCAGTGCTTCAGATCTCTGGAGTCCCGCGTCTCACACAGTCTCGTCTCGTTCTCAGGTGGCTCGTGCCGGCCGCTTCGGCACCAAGGGTTTGGCCGTCACGTTCGTGTCAGATGAAACCGATGCCAAAATCCTGAACGACGTGCAGGACCGATTTGAGGTCAACGTGGCCGAGTTACCCGAGGAGATCGACATTTCCACTTACAGTGAGTCTTCGGTCTTGTGTGTTTTGAGCATGAAGGAATGAACCCTGATAATATCTGCTTCCAAATTGAATGCAACCTGAGCGGTGTGATGAATTGATAACCGTAATATTGGCGGACGCTAAAGCGAGGCTATAGTTAATTGGATATTTTGAGGTTATTGGTATTGTTGGTTTCCCAGAATATAAAGATTTTCTTCAGTGGATCGGTCCAATTTAAGACCAAGCTGTTATCCTAGATATTGGTTTCACTGGTTTATCTTTCTCAGTTTGATTCGTTTCATCGTTAGCAAATGCTTCTGAATTACTCAAACCCTCATAAATGCAGTGACTGGTTGAAAGAATGTGGTGTTTTGCATTTGAATTGACGTTTATCTCTTTCTCTGTGCAGTTGAACAGTCCAGATGAAGGTCTTGGCGTTTCCAGAACCGCAGATGTTGGATTGCGGCAGGACGACAAACCTCTGTTTTTAAAGCCTCCTTTTTACCTCAAACCCGCAGTTGTTTTTACCGCTTCTCGTCAGAGGATCGGGCGAGATGTCTGTTTTGATTTTGTCATAAAATCATGTTTTTGTTTTGGGTTTTAATGAAATTAAAACTTTTTATATACCACACCTTGGCTGGCTGAGTTTGTCTTCTGGAGTGTCTTTTTTTTTTTTTTTTTAGGTGGTTTTTATTGGGTTTCCAAATTTCTTTAGTACATGTTTCTAGTAATGCCTTGCTCTGAAATATTTCATCTGGATGTTGTGAAACTTGCAGGCCAGTGTCATAACCTCCATTTATTTGAGGTTAACTGATTGTTTTACTCCTGTTAATTGTATCTGGGTCAGGTCAACCCAAAATAAAAACAATGTTTTTGCAAAGAAAATGAAACTTTCTTCTTTCCAAACAGTCATCTTTGTATAGTGTCCTGTCCTAACAGGATGATTTCAATGTCTATCCAATCATTGGCTGACTGGACTACTCTTAAAATCCGGAAGAATCCTTGTAATTTCTATATAATATTTACATGTATTCATATTTATTATGGTGACCATAAGATGCAACTTTGTTTTGTTTTTCACGTTAAATAGTTTTCTTTAATGTCTTGTTCACTTAGAAACTACCCTTTTTAATTTAAATGTAATTCAGGCTATTATGCAATCTAATAAACTATACTATTATAATTGGTCTGCGATATAACAAATTAGAACAAATAATCACATGTCTGCAGTGAGTTTTTACAAGCCAGTTTATTTGATACAGGGTGAGTGGTTGTCCTCTCTTCAGAGGTAAAACACAAACGAGAGGAACTTCCTAGAGCAAAACTCAAGACCAGAGCCAAACCTGGGCAAGTCTTGTTTTCAATAGTATCAAAGTGTGTAGCATGATGGATGTGGCACTTATGAAGCATTTAATCACATATTGGCTACTCTGTCAGTAACATTTGATGATTATATAAATCAAAGACTTTTTTGTTGTTGTACAAAAATACGTTTTAATAAAAGCATACAAACATCAGCTAAAATCAGATCGATTGCAATGATGCTTGGTTTGTAATCGTCTTACAACTTTCTCCTGCTTGACGATAAAACATTTAAAAAAAAACAATCGCTGCTTAAATACGATGCATTGCAGAAATTATCCAGATGGTTGCACCTCCGTCATTAGTATGGAAGCATATGGGTAGCAATATTCAATTTGAAATGTAATATGCAAAATAGTATGGAAGCATATGGGTAGCAATATTCAATTTGAAATGTAATATGCAAAATGACAATGCAATATGTAAAATGGCATTGCATTCTGTATTTAAATTTACATTTTACATTACCATTCTAGCAACGTTTGGTGCAAAATGAAAAGGCAAATGTAAATGTAATTTGCATTATGTAATTTCATTTTCAATTTCATACACTAGTTTTAATATGCATATTGAAACGCTTTATAAGTTGCAAAATTAAAATGAAAATGCATTACAGAAATGATTAGATATGTGTAGCATGTTCAAGCAAAAACTGTGGCAAAATGATCATTCAAATGTTATTTTTCTTAATTGCATTTACACTCACAGTCAAGACACTTGCGATCGCATTTTCATGAAATGTCCCGCAATGAATGTAGCAAAATTCAATGTGCACATTGAAAATGCATTCCGAGCCGATCACGCCCCCTCGTGCCCTGTCAATCACTGCATCAAGGAGGGGCTTAAGTTGTGTTGTTTCTCTCTATGGAACTCCGAGAGTGCACATGCTGCCCTTCAGAAAGACCAGACCATCGTCCAGCTTAAGCATGACGCCTCCGGATCGAAGTGGTGGGACACGGGGTAAGTTGGCAGAAAGAGAAGAGACAAGGGGGTCTGTATGTACGAAAAGTGCTCGTTTTAGCCAAAAAAAAAAAAAAAAAAAGGGGTGACACCCGGCTTTACCTGCGGCTGCGGTCACACTACCGACCCCTTGTCTCTTCTCTTTCTGCCAACTTACCCATGAACTTACCCCGTGTCCCACCACTTCTGGAGGCGTCATGCTTCCAAGTGCCTGGTTCCATAGAGAGAAACAACACAACTTAAGCCCCGCCTTGATGCAGTGATTGACAGGGCACGAGGGGGCGTGATCGGCTCGGAATGCATTTTCAATGTGCACATTGAATTTTGCTACATTCATTGCGGGACATTTCATGAAAATGCAATTGCAAGTGTCTTGACTGTGAGTGTAAATGCAATTAAGAAAAATAACATTTGAATGATCATTTTGCCACAGTTTTTGCTTGAACATGCTACACATATCTAATCATTTCTGTAATGCATTTTCATTTTAATTTTGCAACTTATAAAGCGTTTCAATATGCATATTAAAACTAGTGTATGAAATTGAAAATGAAATAACATAATTTACATTTGCCTTTTCATTTTGCACCAAACGTTGCTAGAATGGTAATGTAAAATGTAAATTTAAATACAGAATGCAATGCCATTTTACATATTGCATTGTCATTTTGCATATTACATTTCAAATTGAATATTGCTACCCATATGCTTCCATACATTTGAACCATGTTCAACAATATTTCTGTGGGTTAACCATACACTGTATAAAACAAGGGGCGCTAACACGTGATTAACTTTACCTTATGCAAAATCTGCGAGGAAATATTTTACCATTCACGAACGCGTAGATTCCTGATTGGATTTTGCCCGCGAAAATTCGCTGAACGGTAAATGTTACGCACCGTAAAAAGTTGTGCAAATTAGTTGTGCAGTTGCAGATTCGAGGAAGCAATTAATATAGTTCAACAGAAAGCCGGTTCAATTTCATCACTTTACATGTGGTAGCTATATTGTTGTCACCAATTTTATGCAGTTCATTCAGTCAGCAGCTTCCTCCACTTCTCATGCTGCTGAAACGAACATGGTATCTGACATGTAAAAATGTAAATTATTATTTTTTTTTTACTTAATTGAGGTACACGTTTATGATTGGGAAACATATCTTAGCAAAAAAGATCACAATCATTATATGACAACATGGCTTTTCCTCAGAGGTTTGGTTATTTGTGTCTCAAAGCCTGTTCAAACCCTTGTTCTTCAGGGCAGATGGCACGACGTCACCTCCGTCAGTTCATGCACCAATGCCAGGCAAAAATAGAGACCGCTGCTTCATAAAACACACCGACAACAGTGCCGTTTGCACGAGGCTCTGCCATCACGTGGTAGATTAAAGACCAGACTAGAGCAGCGTTTGAGAGAACCGTCCCACCCATTACTTTCAAATTACATGTTTACATCAGATGCTGGTGTTTTAAACATATTTTTATTGCAAACCAGAGGGTTACTGGGTTTCTTTCTGCCCCCATAGAAGAGGATTGTAATTAGCTGGGAGCAGAGGAGCCGACGTTTTGACGCCAGGGAGCTGCGGCGCTTGGCATGTATCCCTCGGAGAGTTGATGGAGTCATGCGCTCACAAAATGGCTCAGCGTCGAGTCCACAAGCAGCCAAGCCAAAGCTTAAAACGACTTCCCGTTGAGTTTCCCTTGTATTTGCCGGCGGTTCTTTGAACGTCAAGGCAAAGCAATCACTACAAAAAGAAGTAAAGACCAGGCCTTGTGAAGCTGAGAGTCTGTCCCACCATGTTTAAGTGTCTAATCTTGGTTTTTTTAATTCTCCAAACCTGCTTAAAGTCTCATTTAGATTGTGCAGGTGCTCCATAATGCATCACTGTTCATGGTGAGGACCAGAAAATCCATTTGTATTTGTATATATTCACGACAAGGGACACGTCCCGTCCCGGATCCTCAGGGAAAGCGCATCTACTCTAAGGCTCTTAGTACAAGGGATCGGACCTTTTTTTTCCACGTGGATTTGCGTTATAATGAGGCCTCGGCCTGGCGTCTACACTTCGAAACGCTACTCTATTGGATGGGGAAGGACAAAGGGGCAGGTCTTCAGAGGAACGAGCCGTTAATCGACGAACTTGTGCATGTCCCCGTAGAGCCAGCGCTGGGGCGGGAGCGCAGCGTCGTTCAGGTGCCCGCATTCGTCGTTGCACTTGCAGGACTGCACGAACATGACGGCCCTCTCGAAGCGCTCGCCGTCGGGACAGGCGAAGAGCACGGGGGCCGTTCGGGTGCGGCGAGGGGAGCAGCATCGCCCGTCCAGACACATCCCGCAGTAGTTGGGCCGATAGAGGCGCGTGCTGCGGCAGCCGGCGTAGCGTAGACGCAGAGGCTCGGGAGACTTCTGGGTACGGGAACACTTCCTCCCCTTCTGTTGGACAAACACAAGGCAGGTTACACTCACATCTGCACTGGAAAGCAAGTGTGCTGTGATGACTTCAATGGGTTTCGTGAGGAAACATCAGTTTGAACTATGTTTTTTTTAACACCAAGGGCCTGTCCCAATACCCACACTTGTGGTCTTCGCACTTGACCACTTCTCCATTTGCATGCAGAGTTCGGCCAATGTGGCCGTGAAGATGGCAAGTGTTTTAAGACTCAATGGGACACACTTAAGCGCCTCAGTTCAGTGTGTGATTGTGGTGCTTCATTTGCAAACATATGACAAAATACATATAATCTCTATAGAAGCTTGTTTCTTGTACTTGTTGCTTCTCTAGTCAGTTTATTTACTTTAGGGCTAAAGTACTGCTAATTATTACTATTGTACAACTGTTGTATTTTGGTTCCTTCTAATACCGGATTCCTAATCATTTTCAAAGACAAGTAAGGCTTTTAAAAAATCCTCCAAAATAATCGTGGAGAAGCATTTTGCTTACACACTGTGAAACGTTGCAAGAGCAGCATTTCCATTGCGAGACTGTGCTATAGTTACGAATACTATAACTAGAAAAAGAAGAATTGCAGGGGCAACTAGATTCAAGACGGTAAACAACTATTGGGCGTCCTTTTCTACTTTAAGCTGATGTTTATGATTTTGGTTTTGGTCTTCTCCCACAAGAAAGAGCCAAAGGCCAAATAATGATTGCATGGTTTAGATTTATGGATTTAATTTAATTAATGTTTTTAGTTGGTTAGTACATGTTTTGTGTTGCTGTAGGTGGTGAACCAAGATACACTGCAAAAAATAAATTACTTTCTCAGTATTTTTCTCTTGGGTTTCAGTACAAATATCTGAACATTCTTACACCAAGATACATTTACTTGAGAAGCAAAAATACTTAAAGCTGCAGTCCGTAGTTTTTCCTCTTTGTCGCCATCTCTGTTCGAAATCTGCAATTGCAGTTATTCACAGAATTATCAACTTTACGTGGGTTGTGATTCGGCACGGCACAGCGCGGATGAATCCGATGTTTTGAGGAGAATGTGCGGCTGTCAGTCGGTGTGGATACTGGCATTCGCAATCACAGATTATACTTTTGGAAGCATGACCAACATTATTTCATTGTAAATGTGTTTGATTTGTCCCTTGTTCTGTGTTGTATTGTAAATTAGGACCCCCTCGAAAACGTGATGGTTCATCTCAAGGGGTTTATCCTATTTAATAAACTTATATATAAGATTTTCACCGGAAAATGTCATCTGAACAAGTAAGTATAAAAGAATTGCATTAAATCGGGCTGATTAAATATAACGATCGCTTCGCTTATCATATCACATCGAACCGTGCAAATTATACTTTGTTCTCAAATTGTTAATGTTAACATCAGCATTGCGTGACCACATGTAATGCCCTTTCCGATATTTGTCCTTGTTTTCGCATGGGTCCGGATGCAGTCTCTTTTTTTCTGTAGCCACTCCAAAGTCCGAAGTCTTTTGCATTTTACAACGGGTGAATCTCTAGTTGTCACTGGTGATTGTCGTTTGAACCTTTCTGGATCCGCCATCAAATTGATAAGTTTAATTTTAAATTCCTGTGAGAAAAGGCTATAAATCTCCACCTCCAACATTCTTACACGCAATATAGCTTATACTAGCCGAGACTCCTTCTTTATGAGTACAGATGTGGCGTAATGACGCAAAGACATGCTCGAATTTCCCGCGGAAATCCACCAGTACCACTGGAATTAAAAACATTATTACAAGCGAGCTAAGGCAAGCAGATAGTTTTGAACACTGGCTGGTTATGTAATTGCTCAGTTTTATTTTGGATAATTTTTAAATGGACTGCAAAGTTACGGCCTGCAGCTTTAAAATATTATGTCTTGTTTTTTGAAAAATGTTTTTTTAAATATTAAGTAAGTTCATGCTTAAAACTAGAAAACTGAAAACTAGACTAGTTTTAAGTTTGAAGTCACCTAACTTTAAGTTCTTTTTTTAGAAAACGACATAATTTTGCGTCTCAGGTAATTGTATCTTAATTTAAGAACTTTGAGATATTTGTACTGAAAAACAAGACAACATACTTTGTTTGCAGTGTAAATGTTGTTCAGAAGCTGATTGGTCTCAGTGCTTTGTGAAGCAATGAAGATTTCTTAAGCTCTTTATGCAAAGATATACTGGTCTGTTTAGCGGGATCATGGTGTGGTAAATGTGCAGACACTTTCTGAGATCTTTACCTTTATAGGCACAGCCACAGAACTACAGGGACGAATGTTGCAGAGTCTGGTTTCCTTCAGCAGTTTGCACTGAGCGTTCTCATTGGTGACCCGAGACGAGACGCCCATCCCGCAGCTGCGGGAACAAGGTGTCCAGCTTGTCGTCTGAGCGACACATTGCCGTCCCGCTTGCTTCCACGCTAGGGAGAGAGAGAGAGAGTGGGTAAGTTAGTACACAGGCACCATTCACCCAACAGGGAACACTGACGCACAGAGAAAGTGATTAGGGAGCATGTGTGGGACTGGTTCACAAGGATCTACTGGGAAAGAAGCGGCGGGCTGCTAAACACAAACACTCACACAGAAGTGCATGCAGAAGAAACCGCCACAGCTCACATTGGGACTGATTGTTAATTGAACCGAAACCCACACAGAACACATTCTTGCACTCTGCTGCAATACTTTTAATTGTTGGTTTATGTAAACATATGCTAAGCAGACGTCTATGACGACAGCAATACATCTTACATCCTGAGCCAGGGTTATTATATTAAAATAAATAAAATATATATAATGTAAAAAAAACTTACAGCATTTTTCATTTAGATTAAATTGATGTATTAAAATAACACCAATAATAATAAAATAAAACAAAAACTGAAATAAAAATATGAAAAACTATAGACAGTTAACAAACAATAACTAAATAAAATAAAATTACTAAAACATTAAATAAAATTAAAATGGAAAATGCAAAAATAAATATTTAAAACAACTATTATAGTACCTCAATGATACTAGAATAACACCCTGAGCCATTAGGCACCATGTCAAGTTAAAAGAAATTAAGGCAAGAAGCCACAGGTGAATAGGGTAAACATTTTAACCAATAGTTATCACCATACGTGATTAATCACAGTTCATTAAGAAAATTGTTTTTGTTTAACAATTTTTCTGAAATGTTTAAATATGTACATGAGGCATTTTCTAATTAATTTTGCATTCATTCGCAAAAAAATCCAGGAGATTAATCTGAACACTGGATAAAGCCAGATTCAAAGTTCTTGTTTTATTTTGTTAACTTATTAGTGTTAAAGGTTTTTACAGAAGGGATTTTGGATATCTCTTTTTATCACTCCATAAATCAGAAAATACTGTCAATGGACAGAAGAAAATACATTTTCATCATGTTTTAGGAATAAAATGTTGTATAAAATCAGATGAATGATATATGAAGAAACCCCTCAGTAAAAACCTTCAGAATATAGACAGGAATAAAACTGTAAAGTTTGGTGTGTGTAAGTGCAGCTGAAGTGCTGGGAAAAACTCACAAACTTTAGATAAGATATGTACTGTAATTGAAATCTACAGACAAATAGATAAAGCGGTGAAAATAAACACTTAAATGTGTTTTCTTTTCACTAGTCTGAAATAAGTTATGGAAACCAAATATCAAAACTGACCAGTGCATGAAAACAAACAATGGTTTTGCCTGTAATGTCTCGTCTTAACAGATCGGCCTCTTAAATATGCATGCATTTGCATGCTGGTCCACACTGTTTTATGCTGGTCTGGTAGCCTGGTTAAAACCAGACCATTCTCAGTTATAACGGAGTTATTATGGTCTGGCAAAGCGTCATAGACAAATAATTTCCAGAGGGGCGTCACCAACGGACGTCGCGGATAGACCTAAACCCAATCAGAGCGATGAAGGAGATAGCGTATGCAGAGCGGTGGAGAAACATCTCCGAGTGTTGTTCTTTGCTCGGTTTTTAACAAAAAGGAAACGTTCAAATCGCTTAAAACAGACGCGATAGCTGATTCGAACGAGTGATGTTCGACGGCGGCATCCATCTTTGTAATGTAGGCTACAAAATCTGCTTCAAAATCCCAGCGCTGTCGTCATCGCGTAAAGCCCGCCCCAACGTTTCTGATTGGTGCCGCAATTTCGGCGGATTGGAAATGAGCTTGAATGAGCTCTTTGCCAGACTAACTTTCAGAGCAAATCTAAATTTGCCGGAAGTTGTCTGGGTTTTCCCAGGCTACTGGTCTGGTGTAAGTCTAGCATGATTTTGACATGCAAATGACACTTGTTGACCAAGGAAACTAGTGCTTGTTACAAAACTTGGGGACACAGAACAGAACAGCGCCCTCACCTGGCAGGTGTTTTCGACTGCGTGGTTTGTCCCACTTGTGCTCCACCTCTGTGAGCTCATTGCTCAGGGAGTCTTTGGGCTTGTAGGGGTACGGCTTGGGCCGGGGCTTCTTGAAGGCGTGCAGGTCCGGGAACAGGTATGGGGGCGGCCGTGGGCGTCTGAACACGGGCGGCAGGACCGAGGACTCGCCGTGACAGTCCACACTGAGGCAGCACTGGCCCGGGATTTTGACCAGCCGAGGTGCGGGACAGGACGGCGACGCCAGGGGGATATCTGTGGGACACAGGGGCACGCAGCCCACCGCCCCGTCGATACAGGTGCACTGGTGTTTGCAGCCCGCGTGGAAGTTCTCTCCGTTCTGATACATCCGGCCGTTATATTCACAAGAGCGACCTTCCAGTTTAGCTGAGAGACGGGAAAGGAAAGTAGGGAACTGAAAGTTACAATTACATCCAATCTCTCCAGAACAAGAAGTATTGTTAGTTCTAATGTAACTAATGTTAACAAATGACACCTTATTATAAAGTCCTACCATTATAAAGTGCTTGCTTACGGGTTAAGCTTTCCGCGACTGCGCAACTGGGTTATAGGTTGCCAGGTTGAGATGACAAACGGGTTGAAATTGTATATGGTGTGTGGATTGTGTGAATATAATACATTTAATACAAGATCTGGCAATTGGTCAACATTAGACAAACATATTGGTCCGATTATTCATAAAGGAGTTTGGGCCATGCAAATTACGGGAGTTTCCCGGGAGAAATAACAAACCGGGAGGGTTCCGAGAGATAGGGCTAAAAAAACGGTAGAAACTCGGAAAAACGGGAGTGTTGACAGGTATGATTTAAATACTCTCCTCCCATAAATTTTGCATCTGAAAGGGAAACTCCTACAAATTCAAATGCAATAAGGTCAGCTAAAAAAGAATCGTGTCCACACCTTTTCAACGCTCTTTTTTCACTGCGTGTCAGGAGTTTATTAAACGGCTAAAGAGGGTTTGCGCTGTTAGTAAATCTGGTCCTAAGTCTCGTATTCTGAAAATAAATTCTAAATTTAGTTTTTGCTTTAAACAAGAAAAAATATCTACCAATTGGGGATGGAAGAATTATAAAATGGAATGTTGCCCTAAAGTTTGAATAACCAAGAAACATTAAAAATCCTGTACATTTTGAACATTCAGAGAACATTCAGAAATAACTTTGTTGTTGTTTTTTTACATAACTTAATGGGAACATAAGCAAAACATTCTTAGGGCATATGTGTGTTAGCTGGAGTTTAGTGTGTGTTGTTTTCCAGTAAAAATATCTAAATATCCTTTAGATCAACTGGCATTTGTTTTGAGCTCCTAGGGTTCAAGCTTGAATGATGAGTTATTGTCCAGAAAGCAGATGACCTGCACTGAGTGCCAGTTCGGGGTTAAACAGAGATGGACACTCTATCCTTTGCTTTTATGAGAGAGGCTCTATGTTTAGGGCCGAGTGGAATTTTGACTTGTTTACAATGTCGTCGAGCGTCAGATAGTCTTTGGGTGTGCTGAGACGCCCCCTCAAACCCCCCTTTAGTCCAACTCAAATACCTACCTTAATATAGCAACTACCCAGTGCACAAAATATGCTCTGTATGTGCGGAAATGAATGTGCATGTCTTAATAAAGATAAAACCAATTACAATTAAATTATTCAAAAATTAGTCTTTAAATCAATTATTCATGATAGTTATTGACAAGTTTGGACATTACGTGAATGCATTCAAATCTTTGAATAAATGTACACATTTTCAATAAATATATATCAGGAATAATACATTTTATGAACATAAAATTAGAATAGAGTGTTTTAATTAAAATAAATTTTCATTAAGTAAATATTAGTCTATAAAAATTATACATTATAGGAATTTACATTAATTGGTAGTAGCATTATATTGTGATATATGTGTAGATAGATATTAAAATAAAATGTATTTAAATGTATAAAATTGAAAGTTTGTATTAGCATATATTGTAAGTTTATATTAGCATATATCGTGATTTTTTACAAGAATAAAATGTATGATTTTTAAAGAAATCCCCAGAAATCAAATATTTGTGTGTGTTGTTTTGTTGACTGACCCCGGCAGATTCCGTGGATACTGGCCACATCGTTGCCATAGTTACAGTGCAAGCCCTTGTGATGGTCGCAGGGTCTGTGGTCGTGGCAGTCGTCGTTCAGCTGAGCGGCACAGACCGTACAGCAGCCGCAGCCGTCGGGCACCGCGCTCACACCCGGCGGGCACGCGGCACGCTCACCCGGACACCGGCACACCTTAGGACACCTCGCACAAACCTGCACACACACACACACAGGGGGTTCAGATTGAGCTCGGTGCAACTGAATGATGCAACTACATGAAACTTATGCGTACATCTAATTATCGGTTCTTATTACTTTACTTTAGTAAAAAAAATACATGAATATAATTGTGGTTAATCTGGTTCGGTGAAAATGAATTGCCACATAAAACTTCTGCATACATCTAATGATCGGTTCTTATTACTTTTGTAAAAAAAAATCTGAATTAAATGCATCAGGATGGCTGACAGCTGTGAAATCGAAATCGCCTCTCGTAAAGTTAAGATGCCTGTTCATTTAAATGTAGAAAACGTTTGATTCCTTATAAATCTCCATTAGCGTATGTCACAATGTATGATAATGCAAATTTTTATAAATTTTAATTAATTTAAATTAATTTGCAAAAGCAAATGCTGTCATGTAAAATATATTTACATATATAAAATGTATTTATGATGCTAGCGCTAATGAAAATTTATTTAAATTAGTGCTGTCCAATCGATTAATCGCATCTAACATAAAAGTTTGTAAATATATATATATGTGTGTGTGTGTATACCCTTATGTTAGATGCGATTAATCGTGATTAATCGATTTGAGAGCACTAATTTAAATGCATAATTTATTTGCATTATTATTGTTATTATTATTATTGATACTAACGCTAAAGAAAATGTATTTAAATTAGTCAAATCAATTAATCGTGATTAAATGCATCTAACATAAACGTTTGTTATAGTATGTGTTTTATATATATATATATATATATATAAACATACACACATTTTTATTTGTATATACATTACCCTTATATTAGATGCGATTAAACGCGATTAATCGGTTTGACAGCACTAATTTAAATTTTGTTTAGAAAAAATGAATAACTGTATAGTGTCACAATATATGATAATGCAAATTGATTTAAGTTTGCAAAAAAACATATACCTTATTAATTTAAATACATTTTCTTTAGATATAAACATTTTTTTAAATATATAATATAATTTTTTACATTTAACTTAATTTTCATTTGCATACTTAAAATGAATGATTTTATATATTGAAATATAATAAAAATGTATTTAAATGTAGTATTCATTTGTATTAACATAAAAACAGCAATATATAATTTTAAATACATTTTCATTAGCAAATTTAAAGTAATTTTATACATTTAAATATACTAATGAAAGTGAATTTAAATGTATAATTCTTTTGCATTAGCATATATTGTGATATGGCCGGCTGCTAGAAATTCGATCGGCTCTCGTAAAGTCAAGGTGAGTCGGGTTCAAAGGAGTGTTTCCCTGTCCGGGATCCACGTCATTCCGAAGGGTTTTTCCATTGAAGCCAATTTCCATTGGATCACTTCCTAAAGCGCTGCACCTGTTTCCCCGGCATCCCGATGGCTCTGTGAAATACCCAGCCGAGTCCTCTGAGAACGCCCGGCATCTTAAAACCAGAGGAGAGGAGCTCTTGAGTCACTCGAGACCCATGTGTGGATCTGAGATCAAAGCATAAGTCGGGGCCGGTTCTGGAGCCGGGGCTAATGGAGCGGGATGTGAGGCTGGGTTGTTGTGCTTGGGTTATTTTGAGCCTGTGCTGGTCTATTTCTGCTCCACAGGAGCCATGGGGAGGACTCCAGTCTCTCAGGTGTGCAGATCTCAGTCTCATTAACTTCTGAGCGGCTCCTGGGTGCCATCCTGCTGATTTTCCGGTTTTATCTGTGACTGTGTTGTAATGATATAGAATTTGAATGTGATTTTATGATCATTTTGCTTTGTTTCAGGTACAGCACTGTGGTCAACTGTTGTTGTATTAATATGTGCTTTATAAATAAATTGGACATTTAACATCGTGCTGCTTTCATACTCCCTAAAGAGAATATAGTCTGTATCGTGGCCAACAGCTCCAGCCTCAAACACACACAACTAGACTAATCCAAGTCCAAATGTTTTCTAATTATGATGGATCACAGACTGTGTCTTCAGTGGGACTTTTAAACTGCCTTTATTTTGCACTGAAATGGGCTAAAAAAATGACAAGGGAACTAAAAATAGATATCAATCTATATATTGATAGTAAATGACATTATACATATGATTAATCTTATTATGCATTATTGTGTGAATATTAATATTTTTATATAAAATAATGTGTGAATTGTTTGTCTATATATAACTAACAATATTCACACAATATTGTTGAAATGCCGGTATAATAATAATAATAAAACAAATATTATATATATATATATATATATATATATATTTGTTTTGTCAAATCGATTAATCGCATCTAACATACAAGTCTTTGTTTATATAATATATCTGTAAATTATATGCATGTATATATATATGATATGTGTGTGTGTGTGTGTGTGTGAGAATACATATGCAAACATATGTGGCTGTGTGTACGTAGACAAAACTTTTATGTTAGATGCGAATAATCGATATTTGACCATGCAAATTGATTAAGTTTTATAAAAAAAACATACATTTTATTTTACTATCACAGACACACACACATACATACATATATACACACAACAAGCATATATATATATATATATATATATATATATATATATATATATATATATATATATATATATATATATATTGTTTGTGTGTGTGTTTATATATATATATATATATATACATACACACACACATATCTATCTATATCTATCTATCTATCTATATATGCTTCATTTTATAATGTTTTTGATGAAATGAACTGTTGCAGAACACATTGTTGACATTAAACTCTTTTGACTTACCGACGTGCAGATGATCAGTCCAAACACTAACAGACACATTAAATCCCTCATCTTCATAATAAACCATTCAATGTCCACGGACGGTGTAGTGAAACTGTAACCGAAATAAAACAGCTCAACTCTCACAGACGAGCGTTAATAATCCAGCCAGGCGCGTTTATTCCAGCATGATACAGTGAGTCGAGCACAGAAGTTTCTAACACTTGTTTTCACACTGCAGCGAGTCTTTATACGGCTGTGCTGTGATATCATCGCAGTCCCGCCCTCTCGGCCAATCAGAACGCGGCTGTGCGGATACGTTTATAAATGGGCGTGGCTTAGCCACCCGGGCGGATTGTGGGCGTGGCCAGCGATGAATGCAGTCATTCATAAAAACTTCTCCATTCCAGAGAAGAGCTGCTGTCTGCTGTTTATTGACTTAAGTTTTAATAAAAATATTATGGATGCTTTAAAGTCTCTTTCACACGCACAGCTCTGTCCGCTGTGCGCTTTGTGCAAGGCAAGATAAATATACTCAGCTGTGTGATGTTTGCAGCATTAATAGAGCAGATTTCCTGCATGAGAAGACTGATGGAGAGATGGATCAGATGCATTAAACAGAAGTCACAGCGAAGCCTGATTCATCACATTATTTCCTTCGCCTCCTCACGTTCACTTCATCTTTCTATGTTTTTGTGAGTTCTATCAATTTTCAGTTTGAATTTAAAAGTACTTTATTGATTGCGATTGTGTTTACATACAATATTATTATGCACAAAACAAGTCTTTACAAGAAAAAATGTATACCAATAACAAAGGACAATAAACATTAAAATAAGTTGCTATAGTAAAAAAATAAAAAAATAAGACAATATATTTTTCTTTTACTTGTGTTGTCATGAGGACAATATTCCTTGCTGATGTTTGGATACTTGGACTAGAATTTAAAATAGACATTTGAATAGAAATAAACCGCAATAAGGTTGAGATTTGAGTGTATTCCAGATATTTCAGGTCAGGTGGTGTTTTGAGTAATTTCCTCAGGAGTGGAAAAGCTCAGCATGACTAACACATGGAGAGAGAGAGATGGATGGAGTGATGTGGAAAAAGGTGTGGGTGGAGGAATGTGAGGACCAGATCAAACAGACAACGCTCAAAAACACGCCGGTGAGAGAGAGAGAGAGAGAGAGAGAGAGAGAGAGAGAGAGAGAGAGAGAGAGAGAGAGAGAGAGAGAGAGAGAGAGAGAGAGAGAGAGAGAGAGAGAGAGAGAGAGAGAGATGGAGGGCAAAGGTTGAGTGTAAGAACCGGAGGGAAAGACTGAGCAAAGGTACAAACACAGAGCGACAGAAAGAAAGACATTCAGACTTTTGAAGGTCATTAACGGGAAAGAAAGAGTCTGAAATGTTTCTTTACGGGTAGTCATCACATTAACACATCAAATAAACTTAGACCAAACACTATTTTACTATCTGAAGTCATTGATACTAATGCAATAGATACTTAATGGGTAAAGATGGTAACACTTCACAATAAGGTTCATTTGTTAACTAGTTAACAGGAGAATGAACAATACTTCTACAGCATTTATTAATCTTGGTTAATATTAATTTCAACATTTACTATGTTATTAAAATAAAGGTTGTATTTGTTAACATTAACATTAGTGAACTAACATGAACAAACAATGAACACTAGCTGTATTTTTAACTAACATTAACAAAGATGAACTAATACTGTAACAAATGTATTGCTCATTGTTAGTTTATGTTAGTTAATATATTAACTAATGTTAACTAATTAACCTTATTGTGAAGTGCCACATATTTATATTTATACAGTACTTTATGTGCAAATCTGTACATATGTCTTATATATATATTGTAACCACTCGTTACAACCGAGGTATGCAGCAAAGCATTTGTGAAGCCACGACACACACAACCTTGAGGCGGATGGGCTACAACAGCAGAAGACCCCACCGGGTACCACTCATCTACACTACAAATAGGAAAAAGAGGCTACAATTTGCAAGAGCTCACCAAAATTGGACAGTTGAAGACTGGAAAAATGTTGCCTGGTCTGATGAGTCTCGATTTCTGTTGAGACATTCAGATGGTAGAGTCTGAATTTGGCATAAACAGAATGAGAACATGGATCCATCATGCCTTGTTACCACTGTGCAGGCTGGTGGTGGTGGTGTAATGGTGTGGGGAATGTTTTCTTTTAGGCCCCTTAGTGCCAATTGGGCATCGTTTAAATGCCACGGCCTACGTGAGCATTGTTTCTGACCATGTCCATCCCTTTATGGCCACCATGTACCCATCCTCTGCTGGCTACTTCCAGCAGGATAATGCACCATGTCACAAAGCTCAAATCATTTCAAATTGGTTTCTTGAATATGACAATGAGTTCACTGTACTAAAATGACCCCCACAGTCACCAGATCTCAACCCAATAGAGCATCTTTGGGATGTGGTGGAACGGGAGCTTCGTGCCCTGGATGTGCATCCCACAAATCTCCATCAACTGCAAGATGCTATCCTATGAATATGGGCCAACATTTCTAAAGAATGCTTTCAGCACCTTGTTGAATCAATGCCACGTAGAATTAAGGCAGTTCTGAAGGCGAAAGGGGGTCAAACACAGTATTAGTATGGTGTTCCTAATAATCCTTTAGGTGAGTGTATATATATATATATATATATATATATATATATTAACTTTCTTAAAGGGGTCATGACATGCAAAATCTAATTTGTCTTGATCTTTTGACATAAGAGGTCTTTATACCATTAAAACATCCTCAAATCGTCCTCCTCATTTCAAACAAAGCATTTATTTAATCAAACTCCAAAAACAGCTCGTTTTGATACTGTGGGATCTGTGATGTCACACGGGCAACCACATTTGCAAATGCACGCCTCCAGAGCAAGACATTGGCCAATAGTTATACTTATACATCATCACACCATAGGCCCCGCCCACTGGTGTTCAGTCGCTTAACGGCTGATATTTGCCTGAGAATTATATGTTGGTTCGGAGCATTTTATTTTGTAAACGAGAGAGAGGGGAGGGAGGGAGAGAGAGAGAGAGAGGGGGGGGAGAGAGAGAGGGGGGAGGGAGGGAGGGAGGGAGAGAGAGAGAGAGAGAGGGGGGAGAGAGAGAGGGGGGAGAGAGAGAGGGGGGAGAGAGAGAGGGGGGAGGGAGGGAGGGAGAGAAACATTTTAGTCTCTGAGGTTATTTTTAACCCAGAACAGGAACTGCTGTGTTGACTCCCTAAACACACACACTCACACACCTGACAGCGCCGGAAACACCCTAATACACACACACAGTTTCTGCAGAGACAGTTACATGACCTGTGAGGGTCTGATGATTATTATATCCCGACTCCCTTCAGGGGTCAATGCCAAACACAAAGATCTGAGAAGATGAAGAGGAAAACATTTTGAAAATCATGTTATTAGACACTTAATCTTTATGCTTGTGGTGCTTCTATATGGTTTAAAAACATTTAAGTACATTTTCATAAAATTTTACTTTATGACTGTAACCACTTTCTATTATATTTTTATCATGCTACAAACATAGTTTTCTTCAATGCATCAGTGAACAAATCTGAATCATTATTTTTCAAACTTTTTTAAGCTAAAAATCATTTTAGTGATTTTTGAATCAGAAATGTCATGCTATATGTCAAATAATGATCTTTTAAGGAGATTTATAGACCTTGACCTGGGGTCAATAATGTTCACAGAAAGTTTTCAATACTATTTTCTTGTAAAACGTACTCCAATAATCTTTATTTACAACTACGAAAAAATCATTGTTACCGTGTGGTATAGCAATATTAGTGCTGACAGGATAATTGAGTAACTAATCGCTTATTTCCAGATCGCTAAAGTTCAAAGGTCATGTTGATAGCGCTGTCTTTAACGGTTAACAGGTAAAACCTTCCAACAGTCACACCCTCAGAAGTGACCGATCGCTCGCTCACTGCATCTATTTATCCCGTCACACACACTCTTGGCTGGTGTTGTCACAGAGCCGCCTTGTTCCCGACTTTCCACCGGTAGCCCACAAAAATCCCAGAAATCCCTGTTATTTCCGCACCTGTGTTTGTTTGGCAGGCGCGTGAGCGCGTCAGAGAGCCGCGTAAACACAAGAAACGCCTCAGAACTGAAGCCGTGTGTAAAGCGGACAGACTTCAGCTCTGTTCACACACACACGCTTCACACACACACACACCGAGAGATGGAGAACATCACAGCGCCATCTGCTGGAGCTGAGAGATCCTTCACTGACACCTCAACTGTGTGAAGCGGTGTAGTGCCGAATTTGGACCCCGCCAGATAATTACCCCTCTAAATCCCCAGTAAAGGATATATAGGGGAGAGCGGGGCACAAAGTAGTCTAACGCTTTTTGACTTTCTCAGTTTGTGTAAATCTAGGGTTCAGAGTATCCCCCCCCCCCCCCACATTAATTTCACTCATGTCTAGTAGGCTACAATTATGTGGTTTTGTTTTATTAATACAGAATACTCTTTTCTTGATACCCGAAAGAATGGATGTGACATGTGACAACATGCCCCATAGGTGGGGTACATTGTAACATGACCATATGATATGACATATTAAAATGTTATCTGATCTAATCAAACAAACTAAAATATGTTCTCAATAAAATAAAATTATTACCTTTTTCATATAAAATAATGGCATTTTTTAATAATTAAAAACAAACAAATTTATGTGTCTGACAACAAACACAGGAAAACACATCTATACAACATAGTTCAAAACATATTAATAATTAGTCATTTCTGAACATTGACTCTCAGGGCCCTATTTTAACGATCTGAAACGCAAGTGTCAAAGCGCAAAGCGCAAGTAACTTTGTGGGCGGATCCCGGCGCTGTTGCTATTTTCCTGCCGGGATAAATGCCTCTTGCGCCTGGCGCAAATCTAAAAGGGGTTGGTCTGAAGTAGCTTCATTATTCATAGGTGTGGTTTGGGCGTAACGTGAAATAAACCAATCAGAGCGTCATCTCACATTCCCTTTAAGAGCAGGCGCGCTTGTTCTAAAGCGGATTCCTATTATAAGGGCGGATTTGCCAGGCGCGCGCCAGGAGCGGTTCACAGCCGAGGAGAGCAACGTTCTCGTCAGGGCCGTAAAACACAGAGAAGTGACATTGGGGATGGAGAAACCCATCCAAATTAACTTCTGTTAAACAGGCGTATGATAATTTGGGTAAATGTG